GTAATGAAGGAACTTTGTGTTTCATTTTTAAGGGAATATGAATCGTTAAATCATATGGAAAGGATGGAAGACTTCTGAAACTGAAGGAGGATATTTTCTTCCTCATCATGGCGTGCTGAAACCTGATAGTAAAACAACAAAGTTACGCGTCGTGTTCGACGCGAGTGCCAAAACTACTAACGGTTGTTCATTGAGCGACATATTATGTAAAGGTGGAATGATTCAACAGGAATTTTTTTCCATCATGATACGGTTTAGAAAGCATATTTATGCATTTTTGCCGATATTGAGAAGATGTTTCGACAAATTGAAATATTGCCATCGCAGACGAAATATCAAAAAATACTTTGGAAGGAAGATGAAGATAAGCCTATAGAAATATACAGACTCAAAACGGTAACTTATGGCACAGCATGCGCTCCATATTTGGCACAGAGGACTCTTCAACAGTTAGCGAAGGATGAAGAAAAGGATTTTCCTGTAGCATCGAAAGTGGTCTTGGAAGATTTCTACGTAGACGACTGTCTTACTGGATCTTCGAATTTGAAGGAATGCATTAAACTCTAAAAAGATTTGACTCTGATTTATAGAATTTTTCATTTGATCGTAATAGTAATACAGCTGTAAAGACGTTAGGTATGTTGTGGAATAATAAGAAGGATACATTGCAATATAAGGTTACTATTAATGAAAAGCCTGATGTTACGAAAAGAGATTTTTATCTCAAATAGCGAGATTATATGATCCTTTAGGCCTACTCGGTCCTATTATTAGCAAGGCAAAGATATTTATTCAAGCACTTTGGTTGCTTAAGGTAGACTGGGCGGAACAGTTACCACTACCTCTTGCCAATGAATGGAATGTGTTTATTAAAACTCTTCATAGTATAGAAAATATACAAATACCTCGTTGCATCTTAAAAGAGACTTTTTCAATGCTCATTCTACAAGGATTTGAGGATGCCTCGAGAAGGCATTTGGGGCAGTGATATATCTTCAAAGCATTACAAGCCCTGGTGAATATTGTAGTAAACTTCTTTGTAGCAAATCTCGTGTAGCACCAATCAAGACCATGACTATTCCTAGATTAGAACTATCAGCAGGTCTACTCCTGTCCAAACTTATGCAAAAGGTTTTAGAAGTTTTGAAACTCAAAATTGATGATGTTAAGCTCAGATTCAAGCATTGCTTTAGCCTGGATCAATACATCACCACATCTTTTGAAAACCTTTGTGAGTAATAGAGTCTCACAAATTCAACAACTTACTTCTAACTATCAGTGGGGACATGTGTCTTCAGAAATGAACCCAGCCGACATCATTTCCAGAGGATCAGATGCTACAACTCTTGGATCTAACAAGTTGTGGTGGAAAGGTCCTGATATTTTAAACAAGGACAATTTTCAAGATAAAAATGGACTTAGTGATGAGCTTTATTCTTCAGAACTGAAACCAGTTACGACTTCCTTGTTGACTTTAGAAACTGATTCATTCTTTGATGACTGCCTAAAAATAACTAATGTTTTCTTGAAACTAATACGAATTCTTAGTTTACTTTTCAGATTTATCTACAACTGTAGGAACACAAGTGATAAACGAACAGGTAGTATTAGTATAGATAAAATGGAGCTTTCAAGGAATGCACTTCTTAAATATATCCAAGGTAGGTATTTTGCAGAAGAAATTTCTTTGTTGCAGAAAGGTCTACAGATAACATCAAGGAGTAAGTTAAAATATTTTGATCCCTTCTTAGATGAAAAAGGTCTGGTAAGGGTAGGTGGTAGGATAAAGAATTCTAATTTAAGTTATAGTCAAAGACATCCCATTATTTTGCCTGCCAAGAATAAGTTAACTGAACTTATATTTATTTATTTTCATGAATAGGATTTTCATAATGGTTCACAATCACTATTAAATTCTATTAGACAAATTTATTGGCCCATTAATGGCAGGAATATAGCTAGAAAGATAGTCCAAAACTGCATAATTTGCTTTAAGGCAAAACCAATAATTTCTCAACAACTAAAGGGAGAATTACCTAAAGAGAGAATTAATATTAAATTTACATTTATTTGTTGTGCTATTGATTATTGTGGCCCATTTTTGATAAAGTACAAAGGGCAACGCAAGAGTAACTATCATAAGATATATGTTTGTATTTTTGCTTGTATGGTGACAAAAGCAATCCATCTAGAGATTGTCAATGACTTAACCGCAGAAGCATTCATTGCTTGTCTGAAGAGGTTCTTTGCTCGACGAGAGGTAAACCAGAAAAAAATATTTAGTGGACAATGCAAAAAAACTTTGTTCAGTGCAAATACAGAAATTTAAAAAATTAATGAGTATTTTCTAAAGCAGAATGGAACTTTAGCTAATTTTCTAGCCGAGGAAGGTGTACAATGGAAGTTTATACCCCCAAAAGCACCAAATTTTAATGGTCTGTCTGAAGCAGGAGTAAAATCTTTTAAATTTCATTTTAAACGAACAGTAGGAAATTTAGTATTAACCTACGAAGAAATTTTGACAGTAACAGTTCAAGTAGAGGGAATCTTAAATTCTCGCCCTCTTACACCGTTAACTTCTAATATTGATGATTTAATTGTTTTGACCCCTGGTCATTTTCTTATAGGTCCACCGATCAATTCAATAATTGAACCCAATTTAACAGAAGTAGATAATAACAGACTTAGTTTATGGCAAAAACTACAAAAATGGTACAAAATATATGGAAGAACTGGACCTAATAATTACTTGAGCACTTTGATTCAAAGGAATAAATGGATGGTTGCTAAACAAAATATTAAAATAGGGGATATGGTAGTGATCAAGGAAGAAAATCTTCCTACCTGAAAATGGTTTGTTAGGGAGAATTGTAGATGTGTTTTATGGGAAAGGACAACTTTGTGCGAGTTGTCTCCTGTCAAAACCAAAAATGGTATTTATAAACGAGCAGTTACTAAAATTGCTGTACTGCCAATTGAGAAATAATGTACGAGTTTTTTATTTTATTTGAAGGTTTGAATTGTAATCCATCATATTTGTTCTTTTCACATTGTAATTACATGTATTATAATGTGTGCATTAATTTACATTGTATCATTTTGTATTGTATGAATATTTATTACTTTTTTGAATTTTACTTATTGTATTGAAATTAATATTTCAACGCCGGGCGGGATGTTCGGTGTCTGAAAGAGTATTGCTTGGCAGCATTGTTTTACGCCAAGCAGAGTTTGGCTTTAGTGTAACCCTAAAGTTATTTCGTTTTTGCCTTATTAGTTTGTATGATTTCTGACTTGATGTAAGAGCATATGGTTGCTCAATCTTAGCTAAATTACATAGGTAACTATACGCACATGCGTGTGCTAGTATTCATTAACGTTGTTTTTGTTAAAATAAATTTGTTATTGTTAATATTACAGTCCACTTACTGAAGTTAAGTATTATTAAATAAGTTCGAGCTATCTTCGGCAGGAACAAACTCTATTGATGAACTATACTGGACTTTAAAAGAGCCCTTCTAGGTGACCGTTAGAGTTTGAACATTTTTAGAATTTTATTTACTTATGTTGCTACTGTGCTGGATCAAACATAAACTGACGGGAATCAGACAGACTAAGCGAGTGACAAGAATACGATTAATATCACATTCTTCCTAACATCACCGAAAACAAAACCTAACTTCGGAATGTAACACTAAGTTATTACATATAATGCGAATTACTCAGTGTATTTCAAAAATAGTAACTGTAATTCCTTTTTTTAAGAGGAATTTTATTTTTGCGGCTAATTTCACGTTTTTTTTTTTTTTTTTTTTTTTTTTTTTTTTTTCAGTTTTTTAAAACGTTATTTACAAAGCATATTCATTGTAAGTAAAACACACCAGTCACATATAATAATTTTTATTGAAATACCTGTTACTTTCTTTTCCGAGAACTGAATTCCATCATAATGAATCATAAAAATTTATACGAGAGATTCAGATAATTCGTTCAATATTGCAAAAGTTAAAAATATACTTCAAAAACCATATTCGCAAGGTAAAAGTATTAAACTCATTTCTGTACAGAATTTTAAAAATAATATTATAAATTTCTTAACTGACTGAACAACTGTCCCGGTTGACTTACCCGGATTTCCGCTGTATCAAGAAAAGCATTTCTTAGTGCCATGTTTAAAGTGGAAACAGGATGTAACAGGATTTGAATTAGTTATGATATTTAGAAACTCTCTACGTGTGTGTGAGGTATTTTTTCAAAAACCCTAGGAATTAATCCTTTTTTAATAGCAATAAAGCTATTGAGAGGAAAAATATAGTGAGCTCAAGTTTCCTTTTTATTTTCGTATTTTTAAACCTGTAAGAAATCAGAGTTCAACGCTTCAATTCGTATATATTTAACTAGGCAGCTGTTTGAATGACAGACCATGACCTTTCGAAGAGTAAATTTTTTTTTCTTTCTGACTTTGCGGCCTATTCTTCAATGGTATAAGCACTAAATTTGAGTCAGTTGTGCGCCAGATAGAATTTTGTACATAAGAATACATTGATTAAAGACGACAATTGTTTTTTAATCGTCATAAATGTGTTCATTCTACATTTTGACACTTACTGTAAAATGACAGAAATGACCAGCAAAAAGTTTCCAAAAATCTATAACATATTTTGGGCACAATTCTTTTTAAATTAAAAATTCCTACTCACTAAACTACACATAAAAAGGCCATATTAACATTTTATAAAGATGTCTTCATCAATAGCAAGAATGCGTACAAAGATGTAAAGAACAGCATTAAAATAATATTTTCATTTCATTATTTTAAATTCCGTGAAAGACTCAGACTCACATTAGTTTAGAAAACAATACCAACATTTTTTCGTAGTTTGTAACATAGACAAAACAATGTTTATTGAAAGGCAAATCAACTAAATAATAAACATTTCAACAAAATGCAGGGACCTTAAAGGTACGCCATTTTTTCCAACAATTATATCTTTCCTTACCTTGGCCAGAACTTCCGATGTCTTCACATTCTCCGTAGATAACAACCTTAAACTCCTCACTTTTCATGCATGCTTCCCGCCGCATCTCGCATTCATTGCGATATGTTATCCCATCGTTGGCGCAAACCGGATCGTAGTTTTCAGGACAGTCAACGGGGCAAACGCACTGTCCATTTTCGCATCGTGCTCCATATTTGCAGTGAACGTTTTGACATAAATCTTAAAAAGAGGAGAAACAAAATAACTAAATTAAAGAAACGAATAAAGACAAGATTTTTTAAAAAAAATATTTGTTATAGAACATTGCGGTAAATCTGAGTTCACTTACGAAATCATTTACAAATTTTCTGCAAAATATGTTTATCATCAAAATTCTAAATTACATGAGTATGAAGAATGATGTTATGCTTACGATATAATCAAAAATTAAATTTTAAAAAATAATGAGTATACACACATATACACATATATTTGTAATAATTTAGAAATTGTTGGCGCAAGAAAAAGAACATGATTTCTCGAGTTATGGAGCTTAGTACATACAAGATGTAAACAGTCGGATTGATTTAATGCTTTTTTTAATTTTAGAGGAGCACGTTCTGAACGTAAATTACGCAGAGCAATGCGCGCAATTCGCATGCTCGTTTTTGATTACATTTCAGCCTTTTCTATATCTTTATGACCAAAAAATAGAGAGTTCTTGCATTATTGGTTTGATATTTGATTTGCTAGAACTTTTATATAAAATGTTTCAAAAAATGATTATAATTACTTGTAAAGTTTAATTACCTGGAATTTCTTACAATAAAAAGCTCGTCATATATTTAATTATAGGAGAGAAAAAAAATTCAGTGGTAACTTTGTATGTGCAAAGCTAGTAATCAAAGTTAATTTCGTATCATATGCACTCTAGTTTCTCAATCGTTATAGAACTCAATTAGGCAGTAATTCAGTGTTGCTTAATAATATGTGATGCATAAGGGTATTCAATGTCGTTTGCGAGCTTCTAAAAAAATAAAAAAGGGGCTCGTCCATTTCAGTTGAGCTACTTGCGAGGAAGAGTTCATTTCAATCATGGTGTATGCTAGTGGTTTCAAAGTGGTAAAGGCGGGTGGCCGCGGGAGGGCCCCGAAGCTATTTTATGCTGTCCACGAATACATTTAATTAGTATTTGTGCCCCTTTGCATACAAATATATGTCAAATATTGCTTTTCAAAGATTTTTAAGATTTAAGTTATTTGAAGTCCGAGTTTACGTTATTTTCCGTACCATTAAACATTAACATTAATAACGCAACAGAAAATCTAAAAATGGAGCTAATTAGTTTACAATGTGATATAAATCTTGTTCTGTTATTTGAAGATATAGATTTTATTAAGACGACTGTTTATTCATGGTCCACGTTGGATTTCGGGAACCCTGGCATACAGCCGCCAGTTCCATCAGCAGCTTAACCCAGTACTGAAAAATTTTTACATTTACAAGTAATGTTTTTGAAAATGAGAGTAATAAAAACAATCGGTACTTTTCCGTTTCGCCGGCGCAAATCTCGCCAAGCAGACTTTATTGGCGACAACATACAGTATGCACATAAAAAATATATTTAAAAAAATGTTAGTTCTAAGAATTTTTTATTTTGAAGGCATAAACATTTTAATATCGCTTAAAATTTTATAAAAAGCCAATAAATGAAGACAATAAATTAGTAAAAAGACATTAATTTAAGAATTTACTATGCTTTCATGGTTCAACATCCTGATTCGCCGGTTCATATCACGTGACCCAAGTGATCTCATCTCATGTAAACTACTCTACAAAAATCTAATGCTCTCAGTAATTATCTACATTAATTTCAAGTTAAATCTTAATTTGGAACACAAGTTTATATGCAAGAAATATTTCAATTCGTACGAATAGCTTACTCAGAAATTATGTAAAACTGCAGTGCTTTACTTCGCTAATGCATTCTCATTAGAATTGATGAATTTAACCCTTCACTTTACCTTTTCTATATTTTCGGCTTCGGTTAAGCGCTGTGATTGCATCCTAATTGACTAATTATCGAAAATAGCCTTAGACATAAAACTGTACTATCTGATAAAAATCCTATGTAATTATATGCCAGTATTGAAAGAAACAATCAATCTGATAAGAAAAAGCTGCGACTTGTTTCGAAAATGAGGCGTAAAAGGTTACCAGCGAGAATATTCCGTTTGGCATCGGTTGTACCATTATTGGCGACTTTATCGCTTGCGCCGGCATAACGGAAAAGTACCAAACAATCTGAGAGAAATCCAGCAGTCAAAGTATTTTAGTTGTACGTTTGCGATCAACAAATTAACATCAACATTTAGCAGCCAAAAATGTTTAGTTCTGCCCATGAGCTCGACAGCTAACATCAGTATTACGCATCAAAAATATTATTTGAGACAAACGTTGGGGATTTAAAACGAAGTAGGTATAGTAGCTGGTGATGCTGACTGCCGTACCAATGACCCCGGGTTCGAATCCTGGAGAAGGTATGGATGTTTATAAGCGTTAGTGTCTGTATGCAAAGGGGCACTTAAAATACAAAGCGAGCCGAATGTTTTCTTGATTGGTTGTGGTATAGGAAGAGAGGTGGGAGAGCCTTTGGCCACCCCGGGGGCAATCAGGGTCTCCCACCTCTCTTCCTCTACCGCAATTACTCTCCTGACCTGCTTTGTCTCTTGCCACAACATTGGGGAGGATGTTTAATAGCTAGCTAGCATCAACAATACCTCAACTACAGAGGTTCTGGCCTAGCTTCTATCTTTACCTGTATATTAGTCCGGTATGTTAGTTGGTTATTTTAATTTTAAGTATTATTCTACTCGTTAGGTAATCGGGGCTTACTAGTAACAAAAGGAAATCATTGACCGGTGAGCATCAACAAGCTATGAAAAAGATAATTTCTGGTAATTATTATTTAAGTCTACAAACTTTATAAGAACCGAAACATCATAAAGTATCAATCTGTAGCAAGAGATAAAGACGTCTTTAACTATATACATACTATAAATATACGCGTTGTTATTTATGTGTCGAAAAATATTTTATAAATAAGAGGAATAGACCTGGTTGTCATTATTTATTCTAAAGTTTTATGGCACTTGGAAAATTTTCCCTGAGAGCTTTAAAAGTTTTCATATTTTTTTTTTTTAAATTTAAGTTAACGTAATTTATTTAATATTTAGTAAAAATTATAGAATTGTTTGTAAAAAGTGTCAGTCTGAAAATTTAATGTTTAGCTGTCCATGTATTTGAATAACAAAATGTAACCAACAAAAATGTCTTGCAGATACCAACCTTCTGATTTCAAATAGAAAATAAATTTAAATTTGAATTCTTTCCGTTCGACATTACTATTATTGTTTATGTATATTTTGATGAAAATTTATTAACTAACATTAAAAATTTAATTAAAATAATTTTTATGTTGTTAATAAAATATTTTTTGCGGGGTGTAGGGGATAATTCTGACTCCTCAGCTAAGCCTAAATAAAAATAGATATGAGTAAAAGTAGAAACGTCAAATCACTAAAATATCTTGGACTGAAGTTCGACCAAAAATTCAACTTCATAGAACATTTCCTGGGTATAAAGCTTCGCAGAATGTGAGGATTTTACCGGGGATTGAAATATCACATCACCAAGATCCTATACAAAACTGTCATAACAAAGCTCACCAGATATGAATCTATGATATGGGTCCTATCGATGACGGAGAGAAAAAATAGATTGCTTTCATCTATACGGCGAAGTTTCATGCTAAATATTACGCGCGGCTTTCAAACCAACTCCAGCGTAGCTCTCAGTGTCTTCGGAAGTATTATGCCGCTATATCTTCAAGCAATCGGTGAGGCTATTTACACTTCTGGCTCTTTAACCCAGGAAAAGCATCAGCTTGAAACTTCACACCTATTTTGCAGACGATTACTAACAACGCCCTCTCCCATACAAAAGACATCCGGCTGATACCCATACCAAAATTTAAAAAAAAGACCCAAGATACAAAAGAAATTGATGCCTACACAGATGAATCAAAAGTTGAAAGAAATGTCGGATGTGCAGCATTCTTCCGAATCCAAGAACATCTAAACTCTGCAATAAAATGGAAAGTAACTTAAACACCTCCATTAGCACACATCAAGTGGAATTCTCAGCCACAAAATCTGCCATCAAAAATGTATCAATAAACAACTTCTCCAGAAACTTCGTGAACTCAGATAGCCAATCATCCATACTCTACATCCGAATTCCAAACAACCGTTCTCACCTGACTCATGAAATTAATCATATATATAGGATTCTAATGCTGAAATAACTTGGATCAAAAGGCACAGCGGCAATGTGACAACGACACTGGCAACAATCTTGAAAAGAAGTAGATCTTTCCAAACAGAGGCGATATCCTCAACATCAAGTTTCCGTAATCGCAGCTATGACAAATCCTAAACAAATATCTAAGCCACAGCCACGAATGACAAGAAGATTGGAATACCGCCACAAATTCGACGCACTTACCAGCCCTTCCCTTCAAATCAGCACAGAAATCGGCCCATATCCAGATTTTTTTATTAAAAGGAACCTCTCTAATAGCGACAATTGCGTCTGTCGAGTTAAACGTTATGCAGACCATTAATGTTTCTACTGCCCTCTTACAAGTGACTACACATCCGGAAAGCAACCTACCTAGACCTTAACTTCAAAAGACTGGTGGTATCTCAATGATACCACACCTATATTCAAAATCATCAAAATACACCAAATGCTAAAAACTCTAGGACCGTACCTATGCCGAATCACACGTTAAGAGCCGAACCGAAAAAGCGCAAAGAACAATGACAAGGCATCACCGCAATAACTGATACCGAGCAGCATCAAAATTTCCACAATACCTCAAAACACCTAACATTAACATTATTTATGAACTATGGAATGAAAAATCTGAGCTCATTACAAATCCAATATCTTTATTTACTTACATAAAAATGCAAAACTCCCAATGCAGTGATCTCCAAAATATCAGCTGTACTAAATTTTGGTAATCCAATATTGTAATGTGCACAATCAACAGTTTGGGGTATGCAACTTTGCCTCATTTCGTGTTATTATTCCCTTATGTTTAAGCTCAATAACTGCAGTGTGTAACTCCAGTTTTTCTGAGGATAAAAAGCATACAGTCAATTTCAGTTTTT